ATTCCTTCCCTAAACATCCAAAGTTCCTTGTCATTTAATTCCTTTCAAAATAATGTTTTCCTACACTTATTTTTAGCCTATGGCAGAAAATAAGAGTGTGTAAACCAAAACCTTTGAATATTGAAAATCTTTTACTCTTTGAGTATTATTAAAATAGTGTGATGCTATTTTAGCCAAATTCCTAATTCTATATCTTAAGAGTGGTTATCTTAAGTGTGAGTTTTAGGTTCTAGATATTTGATTAAGTGTGTCATATCTTAATTAAATTCTAGATTCAAACCCCAAGTTAGGATAAGAGTGTGTAATATCTCTTAAACACCAACTTGGTTTATCCATCCCTGATTTTCTTCCATATCATACCTCCCCATTTCTCCTCTTAATCTTACTCTTTTCTTCCATTAAAAATACCCAAAAGAACTCCCTCATCAGCCCCATATATTCCCAACCCGTTCCCCGCAAAAACGCCTTTCTTCCTGTCCAGAATCACTGCCAAATAATCGATTATCACTCCCCACAATCGATTATCAGTTCCATTGGAAACATGTGCAGGTAGTAATAATCGATTATCCCTTTAAGATAATCGACTATCACTCATTCCGAGAAAATCTGCAGCCTTCCATAATCGATTATCACTTCTTGTAAATCGATTGTTTATTTCTCCTAAACTTCTGAAGCTCCTCCTGAGAAACTGAATCACTTGACAATCGATTATCCTACTTGGCCAATCGATTATCATGCATCAAGGGAAACTCCTGCAGTCCTATATAATCGATTATCACCATACGGATAATCGACTATTAACCCATCCAGCAAAAGAAAGAGCTTGTTCCTTAAATCCGAGCTTAATACCGACAAACCCGGAGCGTAGATATAACATTTGGTATCAAAGCTTTGTGTTGAACATCCCTAAGGGATCATCTTTACACGCCTCCCTCATCTCTTTTGTTACTATTAACCATACACTCTTCAAGCCATTTATCCACCATGCCAAGCTCTTCTCAAAACATGTTTCAAGGTGAATTAGCTGCTGCCCAGGAGAAACTAAAGAAGGAAGTTGAGATTATGATGAAACAAATCAAGGAGCTCACTAATTCAGTAGAGATTCCCACGTTTGAGGGAAGAAACGACCCGGAGAAGTTCTCAAAGTGGTTAGCAAAAGTTGAAGACGTTTTTATACTCAAAGACGTACCCGAAGACAAGAGGGTCAAGCTAGTGGTAGCAAAGTTTCAAAGACATGCCTCTACTTGGTGGGCTAGCGTTGCTTCAAAACGAAAGCTCCAAGGAAAGGCGAAGGTGAGAACTTGGGAAAAGTTAAGAAAACTTTTAATTAAGAGATTTTCTTCCAAAGATCATCTCCACCAAGTACTTGAAAATACTCTCCCTCTTTCACCCCATACTCTTTCTAAAGTCCTACCACCTTCCCCACAACAAAAGTCCCTCCATAATGCTCTCTCTCCCACAACCTTAACCTCCTCTAAATCCCGATCTTCGCAGAATTCCCACGCTACCCAAATCATTCCCACGCTACAACAATTTTGAAGAAACGAAATCCGTTTCTGAGATTTTTAGCCTTTTTTCATATAAGAAACGAGCGTATCTTGGCGTGGCATTATGGATTCAACCGCTGTTGCAGCCATGGCGAATTCGTTTCTTATATGACTCAAGCACAACACTGGATTTCAAATCTGAGATAAAACGGTTTTAAGCTCTGTTTTTTAGGAGTCCCAATTCTGTTACAGTGATTTTTAGGCTTTGTTTGTTTGAGGCAGTGAAGAAACCTGAACGTAACTTGGCATTTGGTCCCCTTACTAACCACCATTATAACAGCCATGGCAATTTGGTTTCTTTCATTGCCTCCAACGCCTAAATTTCGTGCTGGTGTGAGTAAAACTTTTATGGCATATGATGATTTTGAAGTAATGAAATATGTTTCTCTGATTTTCAGGCTTTGTTCATTTCAGGCAATTTAAGAAACCAATGTAATATGGCGCGGTGTTACGCATTTAAACACCATTGAAGAATCCATTGCGATTTGGTTTCTTAAATTGCCTGAAATGTAGCCATTCACGTGGGTCTGTGTATGAGTTTATGGTTGTGATGATTTTGAAGAAACTAAATCTGTTTATGAGATCTTTAGTCTCTTTAAGTTTGAGGAATCGTAGGAATGAACATATCTTGGTGTGGCACTACGAGATTAAACGTTGTTGCAGCCATGGCGAATTCGTTTCTAATGACTCAAGCACAAAACTAATTTCAAATCTGGGCTACAACGGTGTTTAATTCGGTAACGCCACGCCATATCGCGTCGGTTTCTTCAATGCCTCAAACGAACATAGCCTGAAATGTATCCATTTTACTCCGGTGTGAATGAGTTTATGGCTGTGCTGATTTTTAAGAAACGAATGTATCTTGGCGTGGCATTACGGATTTAACCGCTGTTGCAGCCATGGCGAATTTGTTTCTTATATGACTCAAGCCCAACACTAGATTTCAAATATGAGCTAAAACGAATTTAGGCTCTTATTTTTAGGCTTCCCAATTCTGTTACAGTGATTTTTAGGCTTTTTTTGTTTGAGGCAGTGAAGAAATCTGAACGTAACTTGGCATTGTGTTACCTTACTAACCACCATTATACCAGCCATGGCAATTTGGTTTCTTGGATTGCCTCAAGTGTATCAATTTTGTGTGGTCAGATTTTGAATTTATGAAATTAATTACTTTAATTTTCAGGTTTTTACAGTTTGAGGCATTGAAGAATTGAATGCAACTTGGCGTGGCGTTACGGAATTAAACACCGTTGAAGCAGCCATGGTGATTTGGTTTCTTTCATTGCGTCAAACGCCTAAATTTCGTGCTGGTGTGAGTAAAAATTTTTTGGCATATGATGATTTTGAAGTAATGAAATATGTTTCTCTGATTTTAAGGCTTTGTTCATTTCAGGCAATTTAAGAAACCAATGTAATATGATGGGGTGTTACGCAATTAAGCATCATTGTAGAATCCATTGTGATTTGGTTTCTTAAATTGCCTAAAATGTAGCCATTTACGTGGGTCTGTGTATGAGTTTATGGCTGTGATGATTTTGAAGAAATGAAATCTGTTTATGAGATCTTTAGTCTCTTTAAGTTTTAGGCATCGTAGAAATGAACGTATCTTGATGTGGCACTATGGAATTAATCGTTTTTGCAGCCATGGCGAATTTGTTTCTAATGACTCAAGCACAAAACTGGTTTCAAAT